GTGATCTAATATTTTCTTTTCTTTTCGGATGATAAGTTATATAAAAACTGTCCGAATGTTCTTTTTATTCGAGCGCTTTCGGCTATACATTTAACCATTTTCAAGGATTAAATATTTTAACTGTTAAATAAGAAATAGTTTGTTGTATGTATGTTTTATAAAATGTTTTCATTTTTCAAAACACGGTCAAGATATTGTGTCCATGTTCAAAGTTAATATTATTAAGTGTTGTTTTTTTTTTGTTGCTATTATTAATAAGGCTCCCATTATTTTTATCCTTTTTTTTTTGGCATGTAGATAATGCTATTATATTAGTGTTGCCAACGATTATCTTACGAATAGTGTATGAGATCTAATTGAGCTATGGTCAGAAAGGTGTAGAGTGAGTCTGCGTGTCAAAGATATTGTAATACAGTGTAACCCGAATATAAGAGACCTGGATATAAGAGAAACCCGTATATAAGAGAGATTTTCTCTGGTCCAAAATTAGAGCCTGTGTTAATGTATAATAGACCAAACCCGGATATAAGAGAAACCCGGATATAAGAGACTTCTCCGGTCCCGACAACTCTCTTATATCCGGGTTACACTGTATCTAAAAATAGACTTGTGAGCTTTGCCGTGATTAACCAATCGAATGTGACCTACGCTAAATTCAAACTCACCGAAAATGTACCTTTTGTAGTCTTCCGTGGAATTCTGAAAAATGAAAACAGTCTATAGCAAAATATTCTGCTAGTTCTTTTAACAAATCCGACACGTTTGATCTATTAAAATAATTTATTTTGGAATATTACTTGTCCGAATCAATCATTTTGTTCTCTACTATATACACATCATCCCCTTTTTTCGAGGAAGTACTGAATCTCGGACGGTAAGTAGCTGTTTATTTTGCTTACCGAATACCTTGCGTCCAACATTGATGTAAAATATTAAAATATATACCCAAATATAATCCCCTCAAATATTTGCCTATAGACTTAAGTGTAAACGCTACAAATATTTGCCTATGTTGTAAATAAAAACCCGACCAATGTTTACTTTTTAGACGCAAGTATAAACCCAACCAATTGTGATATTGTTGTGGATTCCGAGATGAAATTCGGTCTCCAATGAATGACAAACGCAGGAATAAAATATAACAAATAAATGTATTTACACAATAATACAATTGGTAATACGGTTAGTAGATCCAGAAACGTGGTTAGTAGCAATAATATATATATATATATATATATATATATATATATATATATATATATATATATATACAATCTGGTAAATCCAGTCTCGAAGTAGGACTTCCTTAGAGTCTACGTGCTTGTAACTGTGACTTCTACAAGCGGTTACCTCACACTATTACTCTACCTCCAACTCAATCACAATCTCTGCTCTCTCTACTCTGACTGACTCTGGGTATTTAACGGCAGCAGTCCAAGTGCACACTGGTCGAATCCACTTGTATGAAAAAGAGGTGGACCCCATAACAGATATCATGACTTTGAACCCACATAGAAGAGGAAAAATTGTTTTTGTTTTTTTGTTTTTTATCTCGATCGCGTGTGTTTCTGTTTTATAGCCGGCAGATGAGGCTTTTAATGTCAGGTCTTCTGGGCTTCACTTACTTGACTAAAGTGAACAAGAGAACAAATTGATAAAGTAAAGAATTTGAAATCAAGCGACAACAAACCAGACATAGAGCGTGTCCGGTTGTTGGTCTGTATTAACAATCTCAGTTGGAATCGAGGAAGTCAGTTCTGGTCTGCCCTTGGCGGGGAACAGAAGGTGATAGGATGGTGCAAATGATTGATTTGGATAATTTATAATATTACCCAGTAGTGTTTTGATTTGATTGCTATCAGATCGCCGAGATTAAAGAGTGTTGTTAAATCAGGCATCTTTATTCCAAAACTTTGCAAACTTCTTTTAACACATTCAATTATTCGCAGTACCTTCTCCACAAACTGCACACACGCATTTTTGCGGGGTTTTTTTTTAATTTTTTTATTGATTCTTTTACTTCTTCACTGTTAGAAACAAGACAAATACAAAAATTTTGAAAAAAATAAAAACCTTCAAATGCCATGACATTTGTCGTAATGTAATGAAAATCGATTTTATTTAATACTAGTTTAAATTTAAACTAATTATTTAATGCTATCTAACGGGAAAATAACGATATTTTTAACTTACCTGATATATTTTTAATTTTTGAATACGACAGAAAAATGACTAATATTAATAAAGAAATCGATATTTGTAAAAAAAAAATGAAGAAACGTGGCAATAATTTCTTCCTTTTACTGTCAACAATTTCGATTGATTCATTTTTCATTCCTTTTCTTTTTACTTTTATTAAAACAGATAAAAGCGTCATTTTTTTTTATTTACATTCCAACTTACCTATTGATCAATTTCAGTCTGCTATGTATCTATTTATCGATGACATTTTGTTTATATCTATCGATCTATCTTTGTTCATATTTTGTAACTTGTTGAGATCTCTATTGGTCTATTCTCCCACTCTTTCTTTCCTCTCTCCCTTTTTCTCTCTCCTTGTCACTTTCTCTCTCTCCCTTTCTCTTTCTCCCTCTTCTCTCCCCTTCTCTCTTTCTCTCTCTCTTTCTCAGGCAAGTGTAGGAACTCTTTTACTGAGAAAAAACAATTCGATGAGTCCAATATTTGAAGCTGAGTTGCAGACATTCATGAGAAATACAAAGATACCGATTTACAGATTGGAAAATAATTCAGTCATCCACAAAATGAAATTGGCAATAAATCTCCACATAATCAATTCTGTTCATTTTTTTTTTTTTTTTTTTTTTTTTTGCTAAAAATAGTAAAATAAATTTTGGAAGTTTACAGAAGCATAGAAACAGAAGCAGATAGCAAGACACTGCTAGCATAGAACTTATGGTTGCATCTAGAAATTGCAACAGTGGAATTATGAGACCTAACTGACAATCTAGCACTGCGCTTAAATTCGTGAAGTCGAGTTACGAACGAGAAAAGATGATCAAAGCAATCACCATGAAAATATTTATAGAAGAGGCAAATGGAAGCTACGTTACAGTGGTGGAAAAGAGACTGAAGCCGAGATGCCAGGTCAAGAACAATAATATTGCAGATTCTTCTTTGGATTTTGTCAAGAATCTCTAGACACACAACTAAAGCGCTAGAGCATATGTGGCACATTATTCGATGCACGAACGAATGGGGAACTTATAAATATGCAAGATAGATTCTTGATAGAAAATTGTCTAGCATGATATAGTGAACAAACTTTCCTAGCAATAGACTTAGCAATTGATTCACGATAATCTTTCCACTCAGTAGAAAACGTGAGAACAAGAAGGTGAAGTGTGTTATTCTAATGGAAGTTAACATTAGATATATTGATAGAAGGCAAAAAAAAAAATGATTCATTAAGATAATTAATAGAGAGCAGTTTTGTTTGGGGGATGTTAAAATTAACAAACCTCTTATTGCTCCAGTTAACAAAAGATTGTAGATCATTTTTGAGATCAGCTGCAAATTTGATTTTATGGAACCTATCTGACTTGCTATTTTAGACAGGAGTAAATAATTGTGTCATCGGAATAGATACTGAGTCGAGAACTGATAACATCAGGAAGATCGTTGATGAAAATAAGGAGCAAATTGGGTCCAAGAATAGAGCCCTTGTGTACGCCCGCATTAATACAAAATAATCTAGAGGAATGGCCGTTCAAATCAACTTTCATTACTTGGTTTAATAAGAAAGACTGAATCAAATAAAAGAAAACAGCCAGAAACACAATAACCCTTTAATTTGTGAAGAAGACCTACATGTCAAACGCCTTCGTAATATCTTAAATAACAGCTCAAAAGTCGATATTCTTATCTGAAGCTTGGCAGATTCTTTCAGCAATAACAATCAAAATATATGCGGTTGACCTAGAGAAGTGAAAGCCATATTGTTTGTCTGAAAGAAGAGATGAGATACTTAACCAATTCCGAATTGATAGAGGTAGAAGACTAATTCGATAGTTCGATGGATCAAACGGTTCGCCAGAGTTCTTAAAACAGAAACTGCAGGCGAAAACTATTTGAAGCGAAAATGAACCCATTCAGGGGTACAGTTCAAATGCTTGTGGGGATCAAGTTTGGAAACGATAGTGGAAAATATGGATGGGGTTATATGCATATCATACAATAGAGACTCGGTTTTAAGTGGAAAGTCAGGTAAAAGTAATTCTGATGAGTCGAGAGAATTTGCGGGCAAATCATGCTGCTTTATCGGCAGAAGTTCAAATTGATAGACGAGAGGGGGTATTAAGGTTTTACTCTTATTTAACACACGATTGCAGAGTTGCTATTAAGAAGAACTAAACTTGAGAATAACTATACGGTGCCTCTCTTTATCAGCAAACAACAAATGAACATCTTTGAAGACATGTTTGTACTTATTACCAGTGGAGAAAAAATCGTCAAACACAATGATGTTATTTGATGAATTCAACAAATCAAAACTGAAATCAATCTATTATGATTGAATACATAATTTAGCTGAGAGGTGTTGTCAAATCATGGAACATCAAGGAACTACATTGACGAATGAACAATGATACTGTGGATTCAAAAAGAAAAATATTATCACAAAAATTCTGACGTCAGGGTCATATTTATACAATTTTTCTGCGGCACTCTGAATTTATTTACGATAAATGTTACTTTTTCAAGTTAATTATCCTATCACAATTGATCGTACATGAATATCTTCACATATTTGGGCATTGTAACGGTTATCCGTGCAAAAAGTGAAATTGGCGAGCTGAGTTCAAATTCGAGCTTAGTCAGCTTTTCACACTAAAGCCTTTTTCAAAAGCATAAATCAATCTCTTCGCCCACATGCAGCTTTAGGTTAAATAGTAGAGTGGGCTGGATTGCCAGCCTTGATTGGCAACCAGTCTAAGAGAAGTATAAACATTTCAAAACCTTTCCCGAGTCATTGCATTTCACTGATAATAAAGAAAAAGAATCCGTGGAGAATAATGATTGCGTACGCCCTGAGGGAACATGACATTAAAAAAAAAAGATAAGATAAAAATGCAATTTTAGCTCTTCATTTCAGATACATTGATGTGTTTCCTGTTTTTAACGAATCACTATCATTCATGCTGCAATCTGATATGGTCACGGGAGTGCTGCATCTTCATGCTGCATGTATTAGGCAACAGTAATGTGGGATTTAAACGAAAATTGGTTGGTAGGAAAAATAAATTTCCATTCGAATCTGCTCCCGCTGAGAGCTAATATGGAAATCGGAACAACGCTTCGCTTGGGACTCTGTTTCCTGCACACCGTAAACAACAGTACTATCGGGGTTTTTTTTTTCAATTTATCAAAAAAAAAAAAAAAACTATCGCTTTTTCTCTGGAACACGGGTATAACCTTCACCAGTCTCAAACTAAAAACAGCCCTGAAAGAAAAAGTCAGCACTTTTTATCCTTCCTTTTTCTCCGACCTTCTTCCTCAAGGACACACTGCACAGTGGATAAAGGCGTTAGTTAGATCCAGTGACAGGACGCAAAGAGTGTGAGTTCAAAATCTGGTTAAGGCAGTGGAGAACTTGGAAGAGGGGAATTGACGGGAGATAACTGTTAACTGACATCCATTAAACATGGCACATGGAACTAGAACAGTCTACCCCAGTGAGCGAAATAAAGGGTTCAGTTCGACATTCCAACCACCTGAAGAAGGCCGGAATGTACAACGGCCGAAACGTTGTAATAAACATGTCTACAAATATGAGGACAATAGTCTGAATAATATAAATAGTGTACTTAGTTTCTCACCATCATTTTTCACTGTGATTATTCAGCTTCATGAAACATAGATCGCACAAGTCAGATACAAAAGCGACTCCTTAAATCATTACCCAATTACAAACAACTGTCTAAGGCAGTGGTTTGAATGTAAAAATGATCTGTTCTTTTGCAGAAATCATATGGTAGTTATAACTTATCAATCATTGCATTAGTCAAGCATGACAATCTTTCTGACGATGAAGACCTCGGTTGAGATCACTTGTCTAAGGTAACATGTACATCAGCATAAGTTCAAAAAAAAAAAATCGGCACTAGACCAACACTGACACTAAGGCCGAAACGTTGTAATAAATATGGCGACAAAGATGAGGACAAAAGTCCGAATAATGTAAATAGTGTCAAAGAACACTCGTTTGACACTTTTTGTGATGCCAACGAATACTCGTTGCCACTTTCGTAATGCTGGTTGTAGTAGAGACCTTGTAATCGCAGATACAACTATAGTAACGCCGTTGAACAATACTGGTGTCAGCCGCCTTTGTATAGCACTCGCACTAATAATACTTGCTCGATAATACTCGCTCGAATAGTAACCATTGTATAGTGATATGAATACAGAAATAGTATAGTGAATGGAGGATAGAGTAGAAATAGTAAATCCAAATAGTAGTAGAGGATAGACTAGAAATAACGATCCGTATAGTATAGAGGATAGACTAGAAATAACGATCAATTAGACACACGCTACCTCCCATATATGCGTTTCCTCTATGGTCACGTGGTCTACTTAATTCAGTAATGGGATCGCCAGTGAGGGCCCACGACCTCACTGGTGATCTAGGTTCAAACTCAAGTGTCGGCAACGACACATTATTCCTATATAACACTTTTGATATTAATACCCACTCTGCGATGTCTTAAAGACTCCAAACTACCGCCAGTAACGATAAACCGATGTCTCTATCGAGGAGGCACCGTGCCTTGAGAAAATATTGGGCCTAAAACTCACACCCAACCTCAAGTGAAACGCCTATATGCGATCTATCGCTAAAGATGCAGTTAAAAGAATCGGTTCCCTGTGCCGCTCCAGTAAGTAACTGACTCTTCATGCTATCCTCTACCTTTTATAAAAATCATGTCGACAACGGAGTACTTTTGTCATATTTTGGGCAGCAGCTGACCGGTCCTCGCTTTCCTCTTCTTGATAGAGTTCAAAAGCGTCTCCAAATCCTTATGGAAGTAGAATTACTTTCCACCCTCTAAGCTCTTTCTCACAGATGGAATATGGCGAGCCTCTCACTGCGCTATCGCTACTCCCATGGAAAAAGTTCTCGGACGGACTATATTCCTTTGTTTCGCCAGGTCTAACCTACATGGCAAAGACCCGTCATGCGGCTTACATTGCAGCAAACCGTCCACATTCCCTCCGTATTCCATCGGTGAGAAATGTTCCACTGGAACAGCTTCTTCCCCCGAACCACTGCTCTGTGGAATAGACTCCCAAGAGGATGTTTCTCCAATGACGACAATTTTAACTTGTTCAATTCTAGAGTTAACCCTTATCTTCCCTTCCTATCCATATAAACTACCCGTTAATGTAACCTTCTACTTTGCTTTGCCCCTGGGCCTTGTACAGGGTGAATTTTACTATAAAATAACTTCGTACATGTTAGGAAGTTTCTTTCATATCAAAGCCAAAACTCATAGTGGTTATCTGTATAGACAAAAATCGTTTTACTTACACCATGTATGTATTGTATGTGCAGGTGAGATTTTATTTTAAAGTACCTTGCTTTCTTCTATGATAAAGTTCAGCGAAAATGTCAAATCAAAGACAAAAAAGAAATTGCTCAAAATTCTATGAAAACATTCAACG